CGAACTGTGAGGTCATGACCTTAGCCAAAGTTGGATGCTCAACCGAACTGTGAGGTCATGACCTTAGCCAAAGTTGGACGCTCAACCGACTGAGCCACCCAGGCGCCCCTGGAGGTCTCCATTTCACTATGACAACTGTAACAGAAACACAGCTATTGTTCATCAACGACTAGTTTTGAAATACCCAGGTAGCTATTTTCAACATTTGCAGGAGATGACAATAGCCTAAAGTAAGGCGGTTCTGCAGGGTAGGAATGGACAACATGTGCTGCAGCCCTACACATGATCAGATGATGGCTCCTACAGACATTTAATACACTACACGATTCTAAAGCAAAATAAAGTTCACCATCCACTGGTATAACACTCAATCCAGCTACCATAAAACCCTTATTTAATATTGGACAATCTCACAATTGGGTTTCTGTATTTTAAGATGTTCTCATGCCCAGAACACAACTTCCATAGAAGAGAAAATTATCTATTTGTTTTAATATAAAGGGTAATTTTTTAAAAACAAGCAATAACATATTTTGCAATTACCTTTTACATTTTCACAGCAGTTACAGTACTGGGTTCTATTTGTATTTTATGTTGATCCTATCCTCATCGTTACACTTCAAATGCCTTCAAAGCAGAGACTGTCCCACTTGTCCTTTTATTTCCTAGGTCATGTGAAATGCGCCCAGTAGGCATTCAACAAGTATTTTCGGATCTGAATGAAATATCTCATTCATTCAAAAAACATTTATTAAGGAATTATTATGATACTATTTATTGAGGACACCAGTGTGAAGGTTTTAAGTCCAGTCTTTAGAAAGATTACAGTCTACTGGGGAAAACTGGTATCCATGATTATACTACCATGTATTAAGTGCCACAATGGAAGGAAGCCCATGGTACCAGTCATGCAGCCTAGATGAATTCAGCCTGGATCAGAGAGAGATGGCGTCGAGATCCTGGTACTGAGTTTTGAGGGGAGAAGTACGAATTGGACAGAGTAATGAAAGTGGTTGATGGTAGGAAAGTTCTAGGTAAGAGGAGGGGATATTTCAAGTATCAAGTGATTCACTGGACATTGATGAAGAAGCTGGGGCAAGAAAAGGGTGCAGGACTTCTAGATTTATAATTTGAGCAACTGAGCGTCCGTAGATGATAAGCATTAACTGAAAGAAAAAATTAAGAACTCGGAGGAAAAGCAAGTTTGTATAGGAGGGTGTGGAGATTTATATCATTCCCAGTTAAAGGAGAGTCGGATGGTAGAAGAGAGGACACAAGAGAGAACATACCCAAGAAAGGATAAAACATGCAGAAAGGAAAAGGTATTTCAACGTTGACTTAAGTCATCCTTAGAGTCTGACACAACTTGTATTCCTGAAACGTCCCTATTCTAATCATCAACAGGGAAGCTGCAGTGTTGTGGAGTCTGTCACAAACCTCTTGGAGCCTCATATTTTCCCACATGATCGTCTCTCACGTGTGAGAATTAGATGTAATAGTGTTTAAACGCTTAGCACAATGCCTAACCCTTAGCCTGTGCTTACTGTCAGTGTTCTTCCATTAAGAAGAGAAAAGTGCTCAGCAACAAACACTTTTCCCTTATTTTATAAAGAAAGTATTTATTTTTACAGTTAACACCCCCATCTTGTGGCTTTTTAAGGTACTGTTGACAAAAGAAGGTTTAAAGTTATGCTGCATTTTTGCAACTATAGTGCTGTTACATCATGGAACATTCCTTGGGGGCCTTTTTATAAAGTTAAACTGATTGGACCAAGACTATAGTTAGGAAATTCCCTGCCCAGAACAGAGAATGACTGTAATCCATTAGAGTTGCATTTATAAAGCTATTATTTAACTTAAAAGCAAAGAAAACATTCCAAGGAGAATCATACATTTTATACAGGCATGTGATTACTTTAAATCTAACCAGAAAAAAATCTTCCCTCAAACACTTGAATATTTTTTTGTGAAAATAATCTGGTGGCAACATGCCAATCGAATTCAAACAAAGTAATAATGTTGCTGATCCATGAGGTCAAGAAACACCCTGTATTAAAATGTTATAAATTACATGGTGATAACAGCTTAAAGAACTCACCAGCGCTAACAGCGCTAACAATTTTGGTTACTCAACTAATGCCAGGTATCTGTCCATGGGCAAGCTGTGTGGTAGATTGTGCTCTGCCATCTTGGGGCATTCTGGGCACACACATGGAGTCATGCCCTGGTTAAATAAGCATCCATGAGTCTGTGCCCACAAGGTTTAGATGACTGACCACCTTTTAAGTCTGGCAAGATTTTAGCTCTAGAGTGAGAACCATTATACTTACTCAACACTTCCTTACTTTTCTAAAATTCTGTGATCACCAAAGATACTGTGCTAATTAATATGTACATAAACATATTCATGTGTGTGTGCCTGGCACTTGTTCACATAGACATATGCTTTGTTTGCAATGCCCATTTGGTACAACCAGCAGTGGTTTGGGGTTCGGCTGGAAAATCATATTCAGAAGACTCAATAGGCCATACTCAGTACTAGGCTCACTCTGCAGAAGGATATCAGAGAGAAAGCAAGCATATGGGCAGGACAAAAAACAAGTGTGTCATCAGTGGAGTCCTTTTCTCTAGAGCAGCTTAGGTATGAGAACTATGTGGGTGGAACAGAAGTCACTCTGGCTCAGTGTAGAGGAACAGCTCTGCCATGGCATCCTGATGACCCTGAATGTTTTGTAACCCTCCCAGGACATGAGAAGATGAATGAAGCCGTCTCCCACTCATTTTGAAGCCATCTGCCACTCATCTCCCTAGAAGACTGTCCACAGACCATTTCTTACCACCTCCCAGGTTCTGATGATGTATGAGGCTTTCTGCAGGGCGTATCTGCCGACTATGAAACCGCCGAGCTACAGTGCAGAACTGGCTCCTCTGTAACAGGGTACCCTACAACTCCTATTACAGCCATGCGGCCCCTTTTGTTTTGGAATCATCATTTTTGGTGTGTCCGAGAACCCAGAGAGTCTAGCAATTCTTCCTTTTACTGCCTACATGTTATGGACTGCCTGAATCTAAGCAGTCCTTTGTATCTTTACTGGCCAACAGAGACTTGGAGCAGCAGACTCTTCTGCTGGCCTTGAAGGAGCAAGTATCATGGGTTCTCCAACTGTAAGGAAAAGAATTCTGTCAATACTACCTGAGCTCAGTCAGTAAATGGATCACAGCCCTGGCAAAACCTTGATTTCAGGCTTGTGAGACCCTGTGCAGACAGCCCACCTAAGCAGTGACTGAACTCCTGACCCATGGAAAACGTGAGATGATAAATACGTATTGTTTTAGACTGTTAAGTTCAGGGCAATCTGCCAGACAGTAAGAGAAAATGAAAACGTCCTGTCCAGAACTCAGTTTGTTGGAACCTTGGTTCTGATTTCAGAATCCATTAGCTAGGATTAGGTGAAGTATGGATATTTTTTTCTTCATACCAACGGCTACCTGACTAAAGCCCAAGTATCTTAACAGTAACTTGATTTCCTATCACAGCACCCTTCCCACTATGTGCCAACTATAGCCTGAACTAGAGCAGTGGCTATCCCTCCTGAGATCCTGAATCCATTTAGTTTACCGTCCATAGTTAGCATTCAAAACTTAGTCTGTTTCCAAAGCTGTTTCACTGCTCTGCCCATTCTGTCTCCCTTCTTGTCAGGACTCAGATCCTTCTAACATTAGATACATTTACTACCGCATTACCCATCACCCACCACCACCAACATATATAAAGATTTAAACGGAAAATTAATTACCCATAAAACTTAGATCAATATATGTATTAGAATAAGTAATAGATATGACAACATTCTGGAGGGATATAAAAAACAACTGCACTTTCAAAAACCAAACCTATGATATTACATCTATTATTCTGAAAATGGGACTCAAGCACAGATTTAAACCAAAACTGACCTTGAGATTATGCTAAATAAATGCATCTGACATAAAGTAATCAAGTTAAGAAAACCAACAAACAGGCACCAGATTTCCTTAGCTATGATTCAGAGGTAGCTTTGTGAAAATAGAAAGTTACTGGATTTTTACAATCCTGTAGTTATAGTCAGTCTACATCTGGGCTCAGCAAAGTTTTTTCTGTAAAGGGCCAGACAGACAATAGGTATTTTAGATTCTGTGGGCCATAAGGTCTTTGTCACAGCTACTCAAATCTGCCATGGTAGTTTGAAAGCAGCCACTGGCAATAAGAAAATAGGCATGGCTGTGTTCCGATAAAACTTTATTTAGAAAAACAGGCAGTAACCAGATTTGGCTCCTAGGCTGTAGTTTGCCAACCCTGGGTCCACACAGAAATACGATAAAATCACTTAAACAAATGAGTATCTCGGGAACTTACTGCTTAATTTTATCATTTCTAGGTCCAAATCTTGGTCCAGATGGTCCCCTTCTGAAAACAAAATACCAAGCACATATTAATGAGAGCATTAAAATAAAAAATAGAAAACACATACACACAATCAGGCTTAATTCTAAACACGGACCAGTAATTTACCCCAAGGAACCACACATAACTGGTATTGCTGGAACGTGATGTGTAATCACATCTGCACTTCACTGGCCACAACTAACCTCATTCTTCTGAATGTTAAAACTTTCAGAGAAAATAGAGTTTATATAACCTTAAGTTACACACAGGTTGTTGTAATCACTAAACTCTGAAACATCGTAACAAGAGTGCCAGTGACTATGAATAGCTTTCTGATCAGTTATAGACAGAAAAAGTAAATTCACCTTTGAATTAGGTTATAATAAATGCTGATTATCAAAAATGGATACAGAAAAAAATCCATTCAAAACACTCTTTTTTGTTGCTCATCTTAAATTTATCAACAAAGCTAACGGGAAATTCAGGTCTATGAAAATACCAACATTTCTCAAACTGTTATTTGTTAGTCAAGTGTTGTATCATTTCAACCAATCCATTTTAATATTGGGGAAATAAAAACTTGTGGATAATCCATTTTAATTAGCATTCCTCTGATGATTGAGAATAAGGTATAAATTATAAAACTTAAAAAAAATAGAATTGGGGAGACTGCCTCAGTTGGTGGAGCATACGACTCTTGATCTCAGGGTTGGGAGTTTGAGCCCCATGTTAGGCATAGCGCTTACTTAGAAAAAAAAATTACAAAAAAGAAAAGAAAAAGATCTCTACCAATTAATCACTAACTCCCCATTCCTCCTCCTCCTAGCCCCTGGCAATCTCCATCCTGCTTTGTGTCTCCATGAATTGGTCTACTCTAGGTACTTCATATAAGTGGAATCATATAAAATTTACCCTTTTGTGAACAGCTTCTTTCACTTAGCATAGGTTCTTGGAGATTCATCCATGTTGTAAACATATGTCAGAATTTCCTACCCCCCCCTTTTTTTTAAATATTTGGAAAGAGAGAGAAAGAGAGAGAGAGAGAGAGAGAGTGTGTGTGTGTGTGTGAGCAGGGGAGGGGCAGAGAGAGAGGGGGAGAGAGAGAATCCCAGGCAGGCTCTGTGCACTGTGCACAGAGCCTGATGTGGGACTTGATCTCAAGAAATGTGAGATCATGACCCGAACCAAAATCAAGTCAGACAATTAACTGACTGAGCCACCCAGACGCCCCAGAACTTCCTTCCTTTTTAAGACTAATATTCTACTATATCCATACACCGCACTTTGCTTATCCATTCACCTGCTGATGGACATTTAGGTTGCTCCATCTTTTGGCTCTTGAGAATATTGCTGGGTGTTGATAAACTGCTGGGTGATAAACCTGGATTTTGATTTCTTTTTTAAAAATTTATTTGGTTTGTCTCCTCTTCAACACCCAAACAGACCCACAGTGTGTGGAAGCTGTATTTTGAGCAAGTGTGCTAGCTGCTTGTCAGGCCCTCTGCAAAAGGTACATTATTGGGAGTGGACTTCCAGGGGTACGTTGCAGGTCTGAAGAATTAGTGTTTCTCACAAGGTATCTCACTGACATTGAGAGAACCATTTATGTAACCTTTTCTTTTTTTTTAATTTTATTTATTTTTTTTTTTTAATTTTTTTTTCAACGTTTATTTATTTATTTTTGGGACAGAGAGAGACAGAGCATGAACGGGGGAGGGGCAGAGAGAGAGGGAGACACAGAATCTGAAACAGGGTCCAGGCTCCGAGCCATCAGCCCAGAGCCCGACGCGGGGCTCGAACCCACGGACCGCGAGATCGCGACCTGGCTGAAGTCGGACACTTAACCGACTGCGCCACCCAGGCGCCCCTATGTAACCTTTTCAATACAAGGCCTTTTCAATACGAGGTCCTTTCTGACGGGTAGCTAGTGCTCTAGCTCTAAGGCTTTTTACCATATCTGCCACTGTGGCAATTAGCTTTGTGACTCTTGGGAAATCTTGTCACATGTAGGAGGTATCTTCCCACATCATCTGACCTTGCCAAAACGATACTATTTCCTATTAATGGATTTGTTTCCTATGTTGTTCACTGCTTCATGGCTGTCAGTTATTTTTATAAAATGTTTTTATGTAGGGGAAAAGCCTCTACAAAAATCTTACAAAATTATAACAAAGAGTGAGGCAAATGTTTGGGGGGGGGGAGGGGGCACATCTGCCTACACCAATCTCTAGAGAAAACTCCTGCCACATATGTCCTCCTTCCTGCCTTTGCAAATACAACTTAGGCCTATATGATGACAGCCCTTTCTAATTATAACTGTAGATGACTGATCAGATCAAATAACTGACAAAGTATCAAGGCAATTCAATGGGAAAAGGATAATCTTTTCATCAGCTGGATGGATAGCCATATGCCAAAAAAAATAAAAGAAAAAAAAATAATAATTATCTTTCACCCTTACCTCAACCATACATAAAAATTTACTTGAAACAGATTATAGAGCTAAATGTGAAAGCCAAAACTAGAAAATTCCTAGAAGAAAACATAGGAGGGGATGCCTGGGTGGCTCAGTCATTTAAGCATCCGACTCTTGGTTTTGGCTCAGGTCTCAATCTCATGGCTGGTGGGATCAAGCCCCGCACTGGACTCTGTGCTGACAGCACGGAGCCTGCTTCGGATTCTCTCTCTCCTTCTCTCTTTGTCCCTCCCATTTTCATGCATACTCTCTCTCTCAAAACAAACTTTAAAAAAATTAAAATAAAGAAGAAGAAAACATAGGAGAAAATCTTAGTAAACGTGGGTTTGGCAAAGATCTCTTAAATAAGCAAAAACAATAAAAAATGTAATAAATTGATTTCATCAAAATCAACACTTTGATCTTCAAAAGATACTGTCATGAAAATGAAAAAATTAAGTCACCAGATGAAAAGTAAATGTCTGTAAAACACATCTGACAAAGAACTTGTATCCCGAATACATAAACAACTACATAAAAAGACAAATTTAGACCTGGACAAAAGATTTTAACATGTACTTAATCCAAGATATGGGGATGACAAATACACAAAAAAGAGGTCCAACATAACTTGTCATTAGGGAAATGCAAATTGAAACGATAGTGAGATACCACTACACATCTGCAAGAATGACTAAAATTTAAAAACTGACCATATATAGTACTGACGAGGATTTAGAGCAACTAGAACTCTTATACGATGCTGGTGGGAATATAAAATGGTGCATCACTTTGGAAAACAGCTGTAAATATATACCGGCCACTTGACTAACTCCTAAGTATTTTCCCAAGAGAACTGAAAGCATCAATCCACACAAAAACTTGCACATAGACGTTTACAGTAGCTTTATTCACAATAGCTAAAACTTATAAACACCACAAATATCCATCAATAAGTGAATGGATGAATGAACTACAGTATATTCACACAATAGAATACTTCTCAGAAATAAACTATCGATACATGGGATAGCGTGGATAAATCTCAAAATAATTATGCAAAGGGAATGATACCAGGAAAAAAAAGGCATACTGTGGGATACCATTTAAAAAATTCTAGAAAACACAAACTACAGTGATAGAAAGTAGACCAGTGGTTGCCTGGGGATTGGGAAAGTGACAGATTACAAAGGGTATGAGGAAATTTCAGAGATGATGGTCATGTTCATTACTTGATTTTGGTGATAATTTCACAGGCGTATAGTACATGCACCAAAACTCATATTATATACTCTACATGCATTTTACTGGATGTTAATTATACTCCAATAAATCTATTTAAAAAAAAACTTACAGAAAAAAGTCTTCTTCTTCATCTGAATCATCTTCCAAAAGATTTCTCTGTCAAAAAAAGAGGGGAAAAAAAAAAAGACGTGAGTTTTCAGATTCAGACATCTTGCAAACTGTCAGGGAGGAGTAATGAAAGGAGCTCTATTCTGGTGAAATTTCTTAACTCTAAGCTTCCAGACAGAGGGAAGAGTGGTTATCGTAAGCTGAAAGAACCACATTTGCCAACTTTCCGAAGAAAATGCTTACAGTACCAGAATCCTATCACTGACAACACAGTAGAAAGGTCACTGAAACCAGCAGGGAACTGAGGAACTGTAGGCAGTCAGGAAGACATTAAGTCCCGTCTCCTTCCCCGCCTTCCAGTCTCTCTCCACTGGCAGAACCTAATAGGAAGCCACGCGGCAAAGGAGAAGTGCAGTTGCTGAGTCCAACTCTAGCATCAGACAGAAGGGTATAGAGGACAGGTTTGGAGCTGAGACACAAGGGGTTTAAGAATCGGCACAGTCCACCTACTGCCTTCACAGTTCACAAATAACCTTCGACACATATGTGAACTTCCAAACAAAAACCACTTTATACTTTTACTCTATAAGATGCAACTATTTCCCTTAAAATGAAGATGATCTCACCCTCTCCCCAAAAGGGGAAGATATAAAGTTCCAAGAGGAGCCTAATGAAGAGCAGCAACCAGACTTTCCCGCATGGAAGAACTTCAATAGTACACAGCTTGTACACAGAATAATAGCTCCCCAAGACAGAAACCGGAAACCGTGACTGTTTCCTCACATACTAAGAGGGCCTCTGCAGGTGCGACTGAGTTACGGGTCTTGAGGTGGGAAGATCAATAAGGATTATTCATGTGGGCCCAACATAATCCCAAGAGTTCTTAAAAGAGGGAGGGAGAGAGAGGAAAGAGGGACAGACGAGCGGGGAGAGAGACGGAATAGAAGATGTTATACTGCTGCCTTTAAAGACAGTGGAAGGAGCATGAGCCAAAGATGACGGGAAGCTTCTAGAAGCTGGGAAAGACAAGGAAACAGACCCTCCCTTACAGCTTCCAGAAGGAACACAGCCTGGCCAGAGCCTTGATTTTAGCCCAGGAAGACCCACTTTGGACTTCTGGTCACCAGAACTAGAAGATAATAGATTTGTGTTGTTTTGAGTTTGTGGTAATTTGTTACAACAGCAATAGGAAACAAATACACCACCTATTGCCTTTTCTGAGAAAATTACTCAAGGAATTGCACCAGCCCAAACAACAACAAAACCCAATTAAATCAGGGCAAAGATTCTAAGACAGAGATCGATAAAATCAATGAACCTAATAAAATGTGGTCAGTTTTGAATAAATACGGTAATGTGATTGTGAACTACTTATAGCTACTGAAAAAGAAAAGGTATAACATAAGGAGAAACTTTAAAAGAGCCCCAAACCATTCTAACAAAACCTAGAAGCTGGGAGCGGAAGAGTGAAGCAAGTAAGTAACATAACAGTCGCACCTGCTGGGGAGACAAGTGGAGGCAGGGAAAGTGGGCCAGAATGAGGAAGTAAAACAATGGAAGGGACGTGGTGTTTGGTATGTTGACAGAGAAAACAGATTTAAACATCACTGTTAAAATATGAAGTTAATAACAAAAAAGAGAGATACAAAGGGAGAAAGGAAGGATACTTTTAAACTGCCTAGTGATACTGAGGCCGGGGAGATGAGGAAAAACAATCAATCTGCCAAAGAAGTCAGGAAAAAGAGGAAATATAAATATAATGATCTATGCATAATGATATATAACATATCACAGAGAGAAAAAATGAAAATAGGATGTATTCAATATTTTTTTAACATATATGTCTGAGCATCTTCTATGTGTCAGGCACTGTTCCAGGTACCAAGACAGCTTTGAACAAGACAAAGTCTGAGCTCTCACAGAAAAATATTCGATGGTAACAAATGCTATGCAGAGGGGCGCCTGGGTGGCTCAATCGGTTAAGTGTCCGACTTCAGCTCAGGTCACGATCTCACGGTTCATGGGTTCGAGCCCCACATCAGGCTCTGTGCAGACAGCTCAGAGCCTGGAGCCTGCTTCAGATTCTGTCTCCCCCTCTCTGCCTCTACCCTGCTCATACTCTGTCTGTCTCTCTAAAAGTAAAATAAATGTTTAAAAAAAAAACAAAAACAAATGCTACGCAGAGAACTGAAACAGAGATAGGATTGAAAGTGACAGGGTGACTAAATGAGATTAGGTTGTCATGGAAAATCACTCTCAAGAAGTGAAACTTAAGCAGAGATCCAAATGATAACAAAGGGCCAACCAAAGATCAGGGGGAAGGGCATTCACCGGCATCAGAGGGACTGGCTAGCACAGAAAAAGCCCAAATACGTTAGTTGTTGTAACAAATGTGAATGGTATGAATGCTCCCGTGGTGGATAAGCTTAGGAATTCCCTGGGCCTACACCAATGGGTTAAGGAGGCACAAAGAAACACAAAGTCATAAAATGCTCACACCTGAGTTTGGATAACCAGATTGGCACTCCAAGAATAGGGAGGTGCAAAGGCACCCCAAAATAGGGAGGGGTGCTGAACCCCCAAAAATATATAGAGAGAGGCAAAGGCCTGAAATAGAATCAGCGCAAAGGTGCCCAATACACAGGAATAACAAGATTAGATATTCAGGGTGAAAGCACCCCAAGTTTAGACTACAGCAGAAAGCTGCTTTCATAGAATAGGGCCAGGGCAGGTAAATTGGTGAATTGGACTTTGGACCACTGCACTGCAGGCAAAGCAGCCCAAGGTGGCTTATTAACCCTGAGGTTATTCCCCCTACCTGTCTCATCTCCTAGGCTGGCAAAGATAAACAGGCACAGCGCCTCCTGTCTGCTGTTAGCAACCATCTACCCATCTGCCCGGCACCTGGAATTTATTTTATATTGAGTCAAACCCCAAACATTGTGTATCCTCAAAATCCCCCTTTCCCCCTCACATCCACAAGTTAATGTTCCTAGTTTCTTTGTCTCTTTATACACACCCATCACGTTTGCAAGCCTTCTGATCTGAATAAATATGGGGCAAGGACCCTTATTCGGGGCTCTTGCCTTTTTCCCGGACATTAGCCATCTCTCGTTTTAATCCTGCGTTCGCTCTTTTGCTAGACAAAAGAGAACGTTAGACTTAGAGTCTACGACATGCTCCTATTAAAAAAAAAGAACTACATGTGATTGGAGTTCAAAAATTCCAGCCAATATCTGTTTACAAAAAATTCACCTAAAACAAATTATCAAATAAAGGAAGAAAAGAAGAGGTGGGAAAAAATATATCAGCAAATTCTAACAAAAAGAACGTTAGAGTTAGCAATATTAATACAAAGATGAATTTAGGACAAAAGCATTAAACAATCAAATTTAAGATTTTATAATGATAAAATGCATAGTCCACCAAAAAGATTTAACAGCAATGAACGTTTATATATATAACAACATAGTTGCAAAAGATATAAAGCAAAAGCTGCTCAAATTATAAAGAAAGAAATGGATACATTCAAAATCATAGGGAAGATTTAACATACCCTTCAGAGATAGAGAAACTAAGAAGACAAACAATAACCTAGAACTTTATATTTAGCAAATTTTAATTTCAAATATCCAAGAAATAGATGTGCCACAAAAGAATTTTAATAAATTCCAAAAACTAGAAATTACATAGGTCACATTCTCCAGGCATAATGCAGTGGAAATTAAAACAGGTAACAAAAGGGGCACCTGGGTGGCTCAGTCGATCAAGTGTCCGACTCTTGATCTAGGCTCAGGTCATGATCTCACAGTTCGTGTGTTTGAACACAGAGCCTGCTTGGAATTCTCTTTCCCTCTCTATCTACCTCACTCATGCTCTCTCTCTCTCTCTCTCTCTCAAAAATAAGTAAAGAAACTTAAAAAAAAAAAGTAACAGAATAAAACTTTAAAACACTCTTCTAATTAACACATTAAAATGTAATGGAAATTTAACAGACTATTTAGAAATAAGTGACACCGGGAACACTAGAGAACAAAATCTGTAGGTTATGGGTCATAGCAGCACTTAAAGGAAAATGCATTTATTTACAAAATCACAAAAACCGAATATATATGAAATAAGTATTTAACTCTTAAGATGGTTGAATTATTCCTAAGCAACACACAACTCCAGAAGTTTAAGAGAAAAAGATTAATGGATAACATAAAAATGTTAAACATGAAAAACTATCATAAACAAAGTTAACTGGCAAGTAACAGATTGGGCAAAAAAATCTGCAACATACTTTCAGAAAAGGTCTGACATCTGTATTATATCAAGAGCTCTGAGGAAACAATAAGAAAAAGACGGCAAGGGAGAAAAATAGTCAATGGAGAGAGATAGGCAATTCCAGACAGAAGAAGAAATGGCCAATGATCACATGAAAAGATGTTCAAAGTCAGTAACAGTCAGGGAGAGGCATTAATTAATTCCTCCAACAAATATTTCTTGAATGCTATTCTAGCTAGTAAGTTTAACAGTCACTATATTTATGAAACAGTTTATGTGCCTTAAAAGATAATGACACTAATGATAAAATATATTTATTATAGTTGTACTATAAGAAACACACATGAAAATCAATGTCTTTACACCCATTCATTGAACAAACACAAGGGCTAGTGAGACACTATCAAAAAAAGAGAACAGGACACAATGAGATAACGCTTTACACCCACTAGGCAGATAATAATAGCAAGTGTTAGGAGGAAAAATTGGTGGTGAGGAGAAACTGGTTGGTAGAAGAAATGCAGAGAAATTGGAATCCACATACACTGCTGGTACGAATGTAAAAATTGTGCAGCCACTCTGGAAAAAAAATGGGCAATCTTCAAAAGGGTGAATAGAGAGTTACTATAATACCCAACAATTCCATTCCTAGGTATTCACACAAGAGAACTGAAAACATGTTCACACAAAAACCTGTACATGAATGTTTATAACACTGCTATTCTTAATAGTCAAATAGCCGAGAGTCAAAAGCAGTATGCAAGAAGTCCTTAATATTAAAAAAAAAAACTAAATGTCCATCAAGTGATGAACAGATGTGATATATCCATATAACGGAATATTATTCAGCAATAAAAAGGAATGGCATACTGATCTATGCTACAATATGGATGAACTTCAAAAACATTATGATTTAAGTCCAAAATGCCAATTACAAAAGACAACATATTGCATGATTCCATTTATATAAAATGTCCAGAGTAGACAAATCTACAGATTGGTGGTTGCAAGGTTGAGGGGATGAAGAGATGGGGGATGACTGCTAAAAGGTACAGGGTTTCTTTCTGGAATAATGAAAATGCCCTAAAATTGACTGCAGTGATAGTTGCATAATTCTGCAAATATACTAAAAACCATTGAGTTGTACACACTTTAAAAGAGTGAATTGTATGGCATATGAATTTTATCTCAATAAACCTGTTACTAAAAAAAGTGGAATGGGCAAGTGGAATAAAACTTTAAATAAAGTTTTAAAAAGTAATTTATAGATTATTAGAACCAGTTATCAAATTTCACCATCTGGTAACTATTCAAAACAGCCAATTTTGTTCAATTCTGATTCAATACCCTATTTTTACAATAAATCATAGTAGTAATCAACCAACAACAGTTACAGTTACAAGTCTCAGTGGTGGATTGAGACTCTGTATTTTATAATTTTAAGTCTATATATAAAGTTTATTTTACAAGCAATTAGTCTATTGGTGGATTATACCTCCTTCAAGTAAAAACTACAGAAAGTTAGGATAAAGGGAAGACACATTTCCTGTATTATACTAAAAGACACTTTTAAATTGTAAGATGTTGGGCAGAGTGAATAATAGGAGGTTCAGAGCTTGTACAAAAAAGGAACGTGTAAAATAAAGTCAAATAGACTATAAGCTCTATATGGGCCCTCCAGTTTTTAGCACAATAGCAGGTGGTCAATAAATGAATCAGTAAATGAAGGAATAGCAATGAGACAGGAAGTGAGCAAGGGCTTTAGGTTGCTGGATAAAAAAGAATACCACTAATTCCTTCCCTAATAAATATTTAGTGAGTGCTTATTCTAAAAGTAACCTATCTACAACATTTATATCAAATGCTGTCTTCCAAAATTCAGATTTATACACATCTGCATAGAATGTTCTGGGATAAATAGGAAATTGAACATTATAGAAAAACTACTCTGGACTCCGAGGACAGTTACAGAACAAGAATTCTTTATCTGCAATTTCAAAAATCTAAAAAGTTCTGAAAACCAAGAGGTTTTGTAAGTTTAGAGCCAAAACTCATTTGGAGGAAAACCTGGCGTGAACTGATGTTAGCTTTACTTACTAATCAGACATTTCTCTGAGAAATACTAACAGACTTGGAGATGCTGCTCCAGACACTAAAAAGGCTGTTATATAATATGCACTTAACTACCTTACTAAAATCTTAAAAACTCTCAATTCCAACCAATTTTGGCCCAGAGTTCTGAATAAGATCCTGTGTATTTAACATTCTCTTTGAAAGACTAGAAAGAAGCAGTGAGCATAATCTGATCAATAATGGATGCAGGATTCAAATGAATCACCAATCTAAGGAACATATACTTTTAAATATTTACTATGAAGAAAAAAATATAAAGTAGAATACAGCCATAAAATTTAGATTTTTCTAAAACAATTTACAAAAGGAATGAAAGCATATTTTTAATCTGTTTAAAAACTGAAGATTCTGAACTTACCCTTTCACTTTTCACAGAACCAGTGACATCATCGTCATTTAGGTGGCGCTTGAACTTGGGAGGCATATTTTTTACTCAAGAGGTACTTCTCTGTTTCCCAGCAGAACAAGTATTCGCCACCTTAAGGGAAAATGCATGTCATTGTATTTGAGACTTGAGGGTGAAAGCTAAAGTACTTAAATAGTGTTCAAAGCCTTGTATGGTGGAGCCTCCTTGACTTCTCTGACTTCAACCACTGCCTTCCCACTTGCTTCATTCTGGGTGATGCTGTCCTCCATGCCAGGCCTTGATACATGAAAAAGTTAAAAACTGTGAGAAAAGGGATGTAACTTGTTAACTTGTGAAAGAGAACATGTGGGGGAAATCAGTGATTTTTTTTTTTTTTTTTTTTTTTTATTTTGAGAGAGATGGAGCACATGTGCGAGCAGGGAAGGGACAGAGAGAGAGGGAATCCCAAGCTCCTTGCTGTCAGTGCAGAGCCCAATTCGGGGCCTGATCTCAGGCACCGAGAGATGATGACCTGAGCCGAAATTAAGACTCGGAAGCTAAAACGACTTCTGAACTACCCAGGTGCCCCTAGTGAAAGTTTTTATAAAACTAAAGAGCAGATTGCCTAGGAGTGGGGGAAATTTGGAGAAAATGAGGCATTAAATGCTTTAAGAGTTTAACCTGGAATTAGAAGACAGAACACTCCTAGTTCTCTAATTTTTAGTTAGTTGATTAAACCATGATTCCGTTTCAAGTGTGAAATAGTGATTTCTAGGCTTCTGCATGGAGTTGGCAGGGTCAATCAGATAATTCATGCAAAAACATTCTGTAAATTATAACACCCTATTCTAAAGCACAGCACTAGGCTCTAAGAAAAGGGATATTTATTAAATACTGTGTTAAACAGAGCCAGGATGCTGTTTTGAAGGGTTTTTTTGGTTGTTGTTATTGGTTTTCTTTGGTTTTGGTTTTATTTCTTTTTTTCCTACAGAAAGTTTCACAGCTTTTCATATGCTAATATGCATTGTGGTTTTCCAAGAAAATGCTTGAGTATGCAGCTTATTCAAAATTTCTGGAGAAAAAGCTGACATGCAAACATGAGTTTTCAGTTTCTTGGATTAGAAGATGGATTAAAAAGTGAGAATAGCTACTAGCTAAAGTACTGAATCTTTTACTATGTGGTATGCACTGTGCTCAGTGACTTACATGTATTTTCTTTTAGTCTATATGATACGCCTTTAAAGTAGGCACTAAGAAGCTAAAAGAGAATTTAATTTAGGAAAAGTAGCTAATATTCCCTCTACCGACTGAAACAGCAGACACATAGACCCAAATTAACCAATGGCTATGCATGATCACTTTTAATATTTATTCAATTAGCTGCCTATCAAGTTACACAGTTCTGTTCTAGAAAGACCACTTCCCTATAAACAACCCAGCAGCCCTCTTTCCCCTTCCATAAGAAATCACCTCTAAGATCTTTAATTAGGCATCAGTTTGCTAGTTAACATATACAAGCCCAGAGTCCAGTTTCATAAACCAAATAAAAGTAATATTTTAAGGTAGTGTCCTATCAAAACAAATTGATACACTTTTCTTTGATAAGAAATGCTTCTAAATCAGAAACCTAATCACTTGTAACAAAAATCAAATTCTTGCTACCTAAGTAACAGTTCTAGAGTTCATCCCACAATATTTCTGTCATGTACATCTGGCCCATTTTATTCCTCATACTTTGATTTCAGAATAATTCATTCACACAGAAATATTACAGACTCCAGGAAAAAACAGGAAGCAAGTTTTCTGAGCTTTTAATTATACCTGTATGTTATTTATATTTTAAACCCAACAAAGGTGCTTCTTTAATATCCCCCAAACAGGCAGACTTACATCTTTATGAAATATACAGTAAAGCTACAAGTTTAATGATGAGCAAACACCATAATCAGGTCCTACAATCCAAGGACCAGCCTCACGGAGACAAGAAAAGTGTCTGACAACAGAAAAGCCATCAGCAAAGCATCAGGCAAGATTAACTATGCAACTGATGATTTGTGTCAAATAACTAGTAGAAATAAAGAATGCTCAGAAATCAGGCATATATTTCTACCTACACTTTCCCCTGCAAACATTACATATGAATTCAGGGATTTGTGTCTGGGTAAATATGTAAATAAGAGAGCTTTCATCATGCATTTCATACTGAGAGTGGAACAGCAATACACAATTCACTCTAAAAATGTCACATCACCATATGCTTATGTCATGACCATACGTTTACAATTTCGTGTATATATATTTTTTAAGAGGCAGTAGTTTTCTATTCAATGTCTTTACATGTAATACACTTCTAACTTGTTTAGTAAACGTTGGCCTCTTTTTTGCTTTAGGCACAGAACAAAAACCCCTATGTATTTCATTTCACACAAAGCTTGAATCTGGGCAGAGGTTTCCCTTTTCCCCGCCTCCATTCCCTTCTGACTCCTCTTCCTTATCTCCATCAACAGTCTTGACTGGTGCAGTTTCACCGAAATATGTGACTTGGACACAGCTTGGAGATGTTACTCACAAAAACTATCAAACTAATGATTCACGTCACCTGGACGTTATAAAACACAGCAGCGTTGGCGCTCTTTCTCCCTTGACTTTAAATAATGAAACAAATCCATCCCCTCCAGCAAGTAGCTCGGTTCCCCGCCCCCCCCACCCCAATTGTCGCACCAGGCCTCGTCCTCCGACATCTGCTCCTAACTCTTGTCCTTTCTACCCCAAGATACCCACTCACATTCCAGGGTGCCTCCCACTCTTCTCAAACCCTTCCCACGCCCTCCACTGTTCCATCTCCCAGAGCACCCTTCAATTGCCATTCTTCTTCCCCTCTCCCCCCACTCCCGCACACCCCCGTCCAGGTCGTCCTCCTCCACACCTGGCCCGAATCCAGCCTTTCCCCAGTCGGGGGTCCCTCCCCGACCCCCCCCCCCGCCCGCCCCAGGCGGGTCTCGCCGCCCAACGCGGACGTTGGGACGCGGCGGAACAGGGGCGTCGTCACCGTTTCCTTCCTCCTCACATCAGCCCCTCCCGTCGAGAGGGCCGGCGCCAGTACCTGAGTCTCCCGGGGAGCTCCGGGCAGCTCTCCGGGGCCGACAGCGCTGGGAGGGCGTGGGAAGGAGTGGGAAGCGCAGAAAGAAAACGAGGAGGGGGAGACAGTGGGCGCGGACTCGGCGTCGGCCGCTCCGCCGCAGCTGCGCCCCCGCTCATCGAGCCGATCGGCGCTCCGCGGCCTGGCGCCGGGCGAGGGGGCGGGCCCAGGCGGCGGAGATGCTCGAAGGAATCGAGTGAGTGGAGCGCCTCCAGGGGAGGCGGAGGAAGCTGGGAGAAGTCCCTCAGAGCGCGCGCTGTACAAGCCCGGGACGGGTGGAAGAGGCTTTTAGGTGATGCTTTAGGCGCAGCCCATCACCCTTGGCTAAAGAAACCGAGTAGAAAACAAGGAGGATGGTTCGCAGCCCCGGAACTACTTCGGATTGTCTGGGCCTTTCCGGAAGCTCTAAGTGACCCCTTGTTTATCGATGCAGTTAGACTAGCAGGGAGCTATTGAGGGTTGCGAATCCCACTTCATTTTAGACGTTAGGAATCTCTGGTCTAGATTTACTGGCGGCTGCAAGCTAGTTTGGGTAGATTTGGAACGAGGACTCCGTTCTCTTTCCCCTGTATTCTTTTTAACCTAAAATAACTAGGTCCAGACACCGGAGCCTTCAGGTTTCAGTTAGGAAATCACCCTTGTATGGCCTGTCCACTGTTCTTTTCACCCTCCCCCTTCACCCCCTCAGTATCATATTTAAACTTCCAAGCCTGAATTAGGTGGGCATAGTAATCCAAAACCATTCTAGATGTTTTTACGGTCCCTTGTTTCACTTAGCCATTCCTCCCACACACGCCGCTGCTGGACTGTTTTACTCATTCCCCCCACCCCGATCATTTTGCATTACGCATCTTTTTCACCTAATACGTGTGGGTCCCTTGTTGATACAGCGTTGCAGGCATTTTTCAGTTACAACGTACCTAACTGGAAGATGCCCTGGCTGGGATGACTCTGATTATCTAAAGTTCAATCACCTGGAAAGCTTTAAAAACTACAATGCCCAAACACTACTTTGAGATTCTGATTCAATCATCCTGGGATGCTGAGAAACAGCCGTGGGTTGTCAGTTGAAGTTTCTGAAAACCTGGCGTTAGACTCGCTGTGAGTTTACTTCTCAGACCCAGGCTGACTTGGACAGACACCACCCACCTAGAAGGAAAGCTTCTTACAGTTTCTCTGCTTAGGCATAATGGTGACACTACCCTAGACCCCACAGATGACCCAAAAGTTATTTCCTTCTTCCACAGGTGATTTTACGTCTGTAAATCTGCTTGTTATGGGGTGTCTCCCTCCTTTGGTGCCTTAGCCAGTTAGAGTCTGAGGCACTTACAGCATCAGCCTTTCTTACTTACACAACTTAAGAGTGTGATTGAGCTGTAGGAGCACCTCACTGCGTAACTTGTATAACTAATTCTTTTTGTTTTAACCATAATTCTTTAGTTCTGCCAACCATTTTGGTAAGATTGCTGAGGGGAGGGGTAATGCCAGTCCCACCCCTTACTCACCTGAACAAAGTCCCTTTGACTCTCCCCTATATTTTGGAAAGGGTAGAAAATGTCACTTTACAGTTACTATGAATCAGATATACCAGTAAGCCTGAAAGGATATAAACAGCACTGGATGTAAGGTCAGAACAGGGTTCCAGGCTCACCAACTTGAATTATTTGGTTATTTTTAGCCTATTTTCTCTTTCTTGAGCTTCAATTAATTATTCAGATGTTCATCTTCCAATTTTCTTATAATTTCTCTTTCATCTGATATATTTATTTTCTTGAAGTAGGCTTCCCACCCAGCGGAGCACAAAGCGGCCTGAACTCATGACCCTCAGATCAAGACCAGAGCCCAATTCAAGAGTGGAAGGCCTAACTGACTGAGCCACCTAGGTGCCCCTGAGCATCTGATTGATTCTTAAACTTTCTATTCCTCCTGTTTTTAGCTCACATCATGCTCAGAGTTACCTAGCCCTTCTAATTCCCGAGCCTTATTTATGCAGGGTTTAGCCGTGTAAATCAGGATGCTTCATGGCCTGCTTAGGATTCTTGTTTCTTAAGTCTGCTAAAGTAATTGTCACTGATTCATCTACTTTGCAGGTTTCAATATTTTGTTGTTGTTGTCTCTGTTCCCATAAGGCAGAAAAAAAAGTACAATTCTAAACATGTGAACAACTGTTCAACATCAGCCAAAATGTAAATCAAATACCATTTTTCATCTATCACTGACCGGGAAGGAAGGAATTTAGCAGCAAATCTGTAATACATTCTCTCCCCTTATAGAGGAATACCCCTAGAAAAGCAAGCAAGCATGTAATTCTTAGAAATATGGAATAACAGACCTCCTGACAAACAAATTAATAGTATTTGCTAGTAAGGAGAGTTGATATCTATGGAATTCCTTCAGTAAGATATTCCTGGGCTGGGACTGTTTATGGTAAACACCCCCGAAATCTGTGGATTTGAGGTGCATGACTGGAAAATATCATGTAATTTATGTAACTCAGCATGTAATGGAGATGTTCCAAAACTGAGTTGGTTGCTTCTGCGTAAGTGAGGTGACTACATACCTTACTTAGAAACCACATCTATGATCTTAGGCAGAGATGCACCCAACGCAGGAAGAAAGGACCTGGGAAACAGCACTGAGTCCTGAACCTCTCCCTATTTTGTGCCTCTTGGTCAGTGGTATCTTTGAAATTAGTACAGTTTAAAATGGTAAGACCTCTGATTTCTGAGTCTAATTTGAAAATTTGATCCTTTTGCTAGCTCAATGGCAAAGATTAAAAAGTTTGACAACACAGTGATGGAGATGTGTACACGCGGTATTGTGGTGTGGGAGGTGGGAAGAGCAAGCTTTCTTCAACACTTGGTGGAAGTATAAATAGCTACAAATTTTTTTAAGTTCAGGGTGGTAAAACACGTCAAAAATTATATTAAGTTCCTTTTGACCTAACAATTCTATTTCTAAAATTTATCCCACTGATATACTTCCCCAAGTTGTATAAAGGCATTTTCTAAGAATATTCTTCAAAGGATTTTTGCAACAAGCATGGAAAAAAAAAAGAAGCTTTAACTGTCCAGCAATAGGAAACAAGTTTGGAATATCCATTTAAGGTAACAGTATATAGTGATTAAACTGAAGTTGGGGCGCCTGGGTGGCACAGTCGGTTAAGCGTCCGACTTCAGCCAGGTCATGATCTCGCGGTCCGTGAGTTCGAGCCCCGCGTCGGGCTCTGGGCTGATGGCTCAGAGCCTGGAGCCTGTTTCCGATTCTGTGTCTCCTTCTCTCTCTGCCCCTCCCCTGTTCATGCTCTGTCTCTCTCTGTCCCAAAAATAAATAAAAAATGTTGGAAAAAAAAAAATTTTTTTAAAAACTGAAGTAGATATACATGCACTCACTTAGAATATCTCTATGTGGTTTTTAAAATATTTTATTTATTTATTTATTTATTTATTTATTTACAGAGACAGGGAGAGAGAACACGTGAGCATGAGTGGGGGAGGAGCAGAGAGAGAGGATCCAAAGCAGGCTCGGCATTATTGTGAGATCCTGACCTGAGCCAAAATCAAGAGACGCTTAACCAACTGAGCCGTGCAGGTGCCTCTCTGTATGTTACCGTAAAGTGAGAAAAGGTGCAGAACAGTACATGGACTCTGCTTCCATTTGAGCATCACATACGAAAAAACCCAGAAGGGCTGAGAATCTGGCATGGAATTTGGCATGAAATGTGTCCTCCCGAACCCCTCCCAATTCATACGCTGAAGCCCTAACCCACAATGTGACTATGTAGAAACTGGGCCTTAGGTAGATAATAAGGTTTAAATGACGTTGGTCATAGGGGTGACGCCCTAATCTGATAGGGCTGGTGTCCATGTGTGTGTGGGCATGGAGATGAGGCCATGTGAGGCCACATTGAGAAAGTGGCTTGCAAGCCAGATGAAAAGGTCAGGAAGAGAGGTCTCACCAGAAACCAATCCTGATGGCACCGTGATTTTGGACGTTTAGCCTTTAGAAAATTTCTGTTGTTTAAGCCATCTGGTCTGTGGTATTTTGTTATAACAACCTCAACGGACTAACACAGAAAGGAAACCTTTTCTCATTGTGTGGTATTTTGTACCATTTGTATACTACAGGAGAGAGTCTCTTTCCCACTGAAATTGAGACCAGATGTTCATTGGTTAATTTAAAAAGTCAGGAGGCACCTGGGTGGCTCAGTCGGTTAAGTATCCAACTTCAGTTCAGGTCATGATCTCATGATTTGTGGGTTTGAGGCCCACAGTGCAGAGCCTGCTTGGGATCCTCTCTCTCTGCTGCTCCACCACTCACTTGCTCTCTCAAAAATAAACAAACATTTAAAAAAGTCAGTTAAAGTGGTAAGGATTTAAAAAAGCAGATATACTTTAATTTTTTTATTTTGACTCAAAGGTATCATCATACATTTACTCACTAATCTTTGAAATAGGGCCAAGACCTTGTATCTGAAAATGAATCTGTTGGTTGGAGTGCCCCAGTGTCTTTATTATAAATTACACTGCTTAAATTGTTTATAATTCCCAGAGCATGGGAATCCTCGGCTTCAACTATTATCTCTATGAAGAAGAATCCAAGGAAGAATGTATTTAAGGGAAAGGGCACTTAGGAGAAGGTAGGCATTAGAGATAGGGAGAGCAGTCCATGAGAAGCGGTTGGAGCAGCAGACATGACAAGACAGGGCAGTGTAAAAGAAAAAGGAAGGGTTATTAGCATCAAACTTCATGGGTGCCTGGATGGTTGTTGGAAGAGCATGGACTCTAGATCTCAGGGTGGTGAGTTTGAGCCCCACATTAGGTGTAGAGATTAATAATAATAAAAAAAAAACTTAAAAACCCCGTTAAAAAATAATAAAAACTTCAGGGGTGCTTGGGTGGCTCAGTCAGTTGAGCGTGCAACTCTTGATTTTGGCTCAGGTCATGATCCCAGGGTGGTGGGATTGAGCCCTGTGCTGGGGCTCAGTGCAGAGCCTGCTCAAGATTGTCTCTCTCCCCCAGCCCCTCTCCCCAGCTCATGCACGTTCTCTATCTCTCTCTCTAAAATAAAAAAAATAAAAAGACTTCAGAGAAATTGGTGGGGGGTGGAGGAAAGTGGGAATGAAGGCTAGAAAAAGCCATTAGATTTGCTGA